TTCGCAAAAAAAAGTCTCCAATCTCATATACGTCAACCCCCCTTGCTTTTCCCATCTGCTCTCGGTCTATAAACTTTAACTAATTAATTAACTAACTTAATTAATTGAAAACATACGTTTTGGAGTAGTTTTTACAATATACGATCCAGTTTTGCTGAAAATGACAATTACCAATTCACGATTTCATTAAAAATCAGTTTATGTATTTCGGATGGATATCCATCCGAGATATTTTAGAATATCTGGATATTCAACGCAACTGCACAGCGCCAGAGCTGTGTGCGTCGCAAATAGAATCTACGGTATGTCGCTACGTATATCTGTATCAAGTGCCTTACGTACAGTCGTACACAGTCACACTCTGTGTAGATTATATGTGCGACGCACACAGCTCTGGCTCTGTGCAGTTGCGTTAAATATCCAGATATTCCAAAATATCTCGGATGGATATCCATCCGAAATACTGTTGAAAATTATTAATTATTTATATATAGGAGTGTTTGCAAACTATTGGTGAAACTTACCTTAAGAGTTGGTCCAAACTAGATAATTGTTCACCTTGCGCTATATGAATATCTCCTTCCTCTCTTGCTTCTACAAATTTTTCATAATCATATGCGATCATTGTTACATCAGTATTAGTTAATAATCCAGCATAAAATTCGCACGCAAATTGGTGTGAACATTTGTCTGCATTTTCTTCTGAAACACAGCTAGGTTGATAAGCGTCGCCATTTAAGAAAATATCAAGTGTTCCTAATCTCGTGCCATCACCTGTATCAATTAAATTTATATTTTCTTTATTGAAAATAGTTCGGTTAAAACATATATTTCAATTTACCTCTGAATGCGTCGTTGGTGTGGAAAACAACAACTTTATCTGCATCTTCTGGTTGTAAATTCGAATTTAAGTCAAAGTCCTCGAATTTATTTAGTCCAGTCTATTGAAAAATCAACGATTTTTCTTTTGACATTCATTCGAAAAACATATATTTAGATAACATTTTACTTACTGGATTGAAAGCGATAATGTTTGGAATTTTTCTTAGTTGATTTTCATTAAGTTTCCGTTGTGTAAACTTTTTTCCAGCTAAAGAAATAAACGAAAATTAAACCAAATGTTGAACATAATAGATAAATGCAAGCAAACCTATTCCTGCCACATCACATCCGATGCCATTGCAAACCAATTCCAAATTGTTGATATTTATTGTGTTGTTCTTGCACATATTGAAAATCAATTCTGCAACGTTATCACCAATAGTTTCAATATGATATTCAATGTCCGGTATTTCACGTTTTGGCAAATGGATGCAGAACAATGTGACATTTTTATTGGAATAGGCTAAATAGGTGGAAAATGTAAATCATTCGTGTATAATTTAAATTATATTTTCATTTAGAAATGATGTACCATTTTGAAGACAAGTCCTGAGTGATGAATTCGTTTCAACATCAATGAGTATAACCATCTTTTGACCAGCGTTGACCTCAGAGAGCTCTTCAATAAGAGGAACATAATGTCCATCCGATATCAAATTCTTCAAAGTTTGGTTCGCCCCTAGGGCTATTCAGCCATTGATAGACATGAAATAATTATTCAATTAACAACAATCTATTTTAAGAACTGCAGCAAAGAATATACTGCACATATTTCGGAATGAATTAAACGAATCTTTCGGATAATGGTATGTAGCTACATAGTTCTAATAACTTGGATTACTTCTTTGAATAAAACGCTGTGACAACTCACACGTGCTACCATCACTTCAATTATAAGATTGATATTTTTTTGCTCTCTTTATTTTTATACATTTGTTTTTCTTTGAAAACTGTTTCATTTATCAAAATATAACATATTTCGCAGCCACAAAGTGGTTTGATGGAAAAATATGCGTTAAAAAAATTATTAGAATAAAAAAAATCATTTATCGATAGCCGTTTTAAGAACATTTAAATGAAAAAAAGATTACTTTTAAATTATACAAATATACAAATTGACGACAAAATGACATTTTAACCCTCTAATGCATTAATTTTTTATGATTATTTTTTAATATAAAACAATTCCTTGAAAAAATAATCGAAATCCAAAAAAGTGCATAGTTTTCTCAAAAAATGCCATTGACAAAATTGGAGAACAATAAAAACCATCAAAATCAAAACCATTGTTTAAACTGCAGTAAAACTGCTATAAACAAAGAAAATGATAATTTTTTCGTCAAATTTCTGTTTTCACGTACAACCGTGTTTATAATCAAACAACCGATTTACATCCAATTGTCAAATGACCGGAAAATGAAAGCCTAAGGATCTGAATGTACTTTAATTCATAGTTACTCTGAAAAAATGTTGTGGGGTTATGTTCGACTTTACGTGTTGACAAATATTTACACTACAAAAATATAATACTTCAAAAAAAAAAATTGTGGTGAATTCTAGTACTAGAAATATTCATGAATTATAAAAACAGCATACATTTTTTTTGTAGTGCTAGAATCACCACAATATTTTTTTGAATTATTATATTCTTGTAGTGTTAATAAATGTCAACACATAAAGTTGAACATAACCCCACAACAGTTTTTTCAGAGTAAATAAAATCATTTGTTTTTAATCATATATTTTGAACAATAATTTATGGCAGAGCTATGTACTAGAGGGTTAACAGTCGATATCTGCTGCTCCGAAGTCGAAAAGACTGGCGGCTGGTATTCGATCGGGTGGTGTTTCATTGCAAATGATATTGTAAATAAATGTGATAAAATCAGTCTGTAACATGAACATATTTTTTTACATGTTAACCCTCTACTGCATGCATTTTTACTGCCCTCTACGCACACATAGTGTAAGGTGAAAACTATTGTAATCGGTCAAAATTTTGAAAACTTCAGAAACATGTTTTCTACCTATTATTGAGGTCAAAGAACACGAATTTGGCGTTTTTAAACATGGTTTTTGTTAATCTGTACGTCGTACGTCGTACGTTGTACGTCGTACGCAAAATTTGTTAGCAAGATTACGCTCATCGTAGAAACTTAATTCAAAATCTGACTTTACAGGATGATTGGGGGTCCCGAGGAATAGAAATCATAAGCTTTTGAGCGACTTTGGTTGATGGAAAAAAATTTCATGCCTGGAGTGATACCTATGAAAAAGAGTCACTCAAAAATATGTATTGGAGGGTTTTTTGGCACGAGAAAACCGAATCCGATGTTAGTTTTGAGATACAATCAATTTTTGATACAGTTTCCTTGAAAAAATCACAAAAAATTGAATTTTTGTATGGGAGCCATGCCTGTATGCTACCTTAATGGTGTGAAACTTTGCACAGTCTATTTTCTACACAAAAAAATAACATTCTGAAAGTTTGAAGAGATTTCAATCAAAATTTGGGGTACCTCCCAACTAACAAAAAAAATTATCTGAAGTTTCATTTATATTGCTGAGAATAGTTTCTCCAATGAATGTGTAGTCTTCACTATTTCCGGCATTAATTTGTTTTTTAAAATCATAATTTAAAAAAAAATATATATTTGTAAAAATTTAACTCACCAAAACAAATCAGATGTATAAAAATCAATCCTTTCATCTTATGGCCGAGAAAAGGACGTGCTTTTCAATTTCAACTGATCGAACCACTGAATGAGTTGTAAACAGGTGTTGCTTTTATACCATTCAAGGGAACTGGATTATCATTATTTGATATAAGAACAGCCCTAATCAGTATATTCAGTCAAAACAAGTGATGGTTTTTTCCCTAGTCACATGCCAAAAAATACTTTCTTCATTCACCTTGTTTATTTGTTCAATCTACATAAAAAAAACTGTTTTCGTGTTTATAACGGCGTGAACACTGTGTAGTCAGTTGGCAATAATAAATCAGGAACTTTTCTGAAAGAATATTAAATCAAATAAAAAACCTCTGACGAGGTGAAGAGCGAGTGACGAAACCAAAATGTGAAACACAATATTTCTGATATCAATTTTGCGACGAAAATAAATGATAGATAATTTTTCTGTGTACTGTGAATAAAAACTAAATATACATTTGAACATTCAAAACCTAGGGGCAGAGCAGTACTAGAATAATAATTTTTGTTTAAAGTAATTCTATGTTGTGAGTAGTAATCCATATTAATCCGCGGTAATACACACTTGTGTAAATTCTAACAGCAGTGCAATGACGTTTCATGTGTACGTTGTGTACAATTAAATTTGTTAGGAATAAAGCGTTCGTCGTATATTGCGGATTGAAACAATTTATTCGATATTTATTAAATTAAATTCGTTATTTTCCATTTTTTAACAATAAAATATCTCATCCGAAATATACTGCGATCGCTTTATGCCTAGCAAATGTCATACACAACGTACACATGAAACGTCATTGCACTGCTGTTAGAATTTACGTAAGTTTGTATTACTATGGATTAATATGGATTACTACTCACAACATAGCATTACTTTAAGAAAAATGATTATTCTAGTACTGCTCTGCCCCTAGTTCAAAACGTTGCAGAAATCCCTCTCTGTTTACTGTCAGTATGGACTGATGGCGCAATGCAACGTTCCGAATATAGAAATGTATTAAGTTATTATTCACAGTACACAGAAAAATTATCTATCATTTATTTTCGTCGCAAAATTGATATCAGAAATTTTGTGTTTCACATATTGGTTTCGTCACTCGCTCTTCACCTCGTCAGAGGTTTTTTATTTGATATCAGTTATTTTGTCCAAATTAAAGATTCAAAACATCTCCACACACATGAATTTTAATAATTTTGAAATACAATTTAAATATCGACTTTTAGGTTATTTTATTTGGCTCCAAATGTCAAAAATTATGGCTCATAATGGGGAGGGCCAATTTTTAGTAGTGTGTGTGGTATACACTTTTTTATCTTTGACTTGGGGCAAAACTGAACAGAACAAAAGCTGAACGGAATACACTTTTTCACTCTTAACAATTTTACAATGAACTTTTAATACTTAAACTCTGACTATACAGTCATATTTCCCTATTAAAACTTATTAATTGCGAGCCAACTAAATTCGGGACAATTTATAAGTCTTTATTTGAGTTTATAAGTCGCGGGCCAACTTATTAGTCAGACAACTAATTCTCAATAGAACTGAAAATAAGAACTAACTAGAACAAGAACAAAAACAAGAACTAATTCATCCTCCAAATATGAGGTTTATTTATATGAAATTATCTTAAGTTTATTTTCCCATTTCTTATGACAATAGTGAGAGATAACTCAATTAATATAAAGCCATCTTACAACGATTCCTTATCTTACAGATGATGCATGTACCCAATGAGAATTCATTAATATCTCAGTTGGTCATACAATATAATGATTCACAGAATAGCATAAAAATCTGACTTTCAAATCAATATTTGAATGGGTGAGAATAATAGTGACTTTAAGCGTATCGTACAAACCGAAGTGAATCATAAATTTGAGTACAAATGAATTCTCTAGAATAAATACAGCGTATGATACGGTCGCACACCAAAGTTTGTTTTTACATACATTTTTTGCTGTATTTTGTATGACGGTGTTTCGCTTTGAAATGCAACCTTTCGATACGCTGTTTTTATTCTATAGCAATCAAATATATATTCATCGTGATTTGTTGTTCAAATAAAGGTGTATCATAAATTTATGGTGCACTTTTATTGTACATAGATTTTTGTTTCATGATTATTTTTAAAGAAAAATATGATTCATTTTAATATGATAAATTAAAACACACAAAAAAATGGAGATAAAATAAAAAAAATCTTCGATTCTCAAATACACAAAAAACTTTCTGTATCACCTAGTTCAATCACAATGAAAAAATGTGAATCGAAGAATTTTTTTTTTTCATTTTGCGATTTTTCAACATCATCTATCTCCATTGGAGGCTTATTTCACGGAAGACCGCTCTAATTGCATTATAATACATGCAAAAAAATAAAAAAATATTTGCTTGAATATTTTTTTCTTGCTTATCTCGTTTATGAAATTAAAAAAATGCACAGAAAAGGCAAAGAGCATTGCATAGATTATTTGATACTATATAGCGAACGAAATATACAATATATTGAAATGAATTTTCAAGCAAAGGCACTAATAAAATAAAAATTAAAATTTGACTGAGGTTCGAACGCAGTACCTCAGATCGCTACTCCACAACTCTAGCTACTTGCCACAGTGTACACACACTATGATGATACCATAAAATGAACACTAATTCTTGTTTGCCGTGACAACAATATTGTGTTTTTTATTTTTTTAAAAACGCAATTTTAAGCATCTTGGACATTTAATTTGAATGAAAGTGAATTGTAAAAAGAATGATATTGAACTGGAATATACTGTAATAGTTTTTGCAAATCATCGAATTTCTTTTTCGTAATCGGTCGTGCTTTCTTATACAAAGGAACAAAATTCGTATTTTCAAATGATTTCAAACATTTTTTCTTCTTTAAAGATACTTGAATAAGTGGAGATGATCCTTTGGAGTAATACTCAATTAATAAGTTAAATGGTTTTGATCGCTTGTAGACAATTTTGTGAATTTGAAGCCAATTTACTTTCTCGTGATCAGTGGTCTTTTTTCGGTTAGTTATTATCTTTTGAAGTCGTGCTGATGATAAAAAGTTTTCTCGGTGCATTTCGAAGACGGTGAATTTTGGTTCTTTTACTTTCGCTCCCGAAATTATGTGGATCCAATATTTTGTTGTATATATTAATTCGCTGATCCTCTTTTTTCTCTCAATTAAAGCAAAGCAACGATCACATGAATTCATGCTATGGCCTGGTAAGAAAAATCGTTGTTCAATCCATTTCAAATTATCATACGGCCAAGAGCTAAGCAGTTTTTTTAACATGACGACCGTTTTTATATCCCTGTTCTGGCCCTGGCAAGCATCACTATACGCAATTATTTTTTCCGTGTCTTTTGGAATGATGTCATGAATGTATTTATGGATACATGAAAATATTTCTTCGGGGCCTCTTGATGCCATCGATTCGTTCCAAACAAACATATAAGCCTTCATACGAACTTCGTCGTAAATACACAGGTTATACACCCAAAGCATACGACGATAGTATGCTTCGCTTGTTTTTTATTGAAGGCACTTCTAATGAACGTTGAAGGTCAAAAGTGAACACCTCAGTTTTGCTCGATTTTCTACCGGCATCCTCAACACACATCTTAAATTCTTTCCAGATTCTTTTCGCAATATCCCTATGATTTTGTCGTAGAAACATTATTCGTTCAGTTTCTTAAAAATCTGATTGCGCAGCTCGCAGCTGTGCTTTGAACGTGTCACATCTTTGACATGTATCACTTTTCTTTGGTTTAAATGATAAATTAAACTTCGTATTAAACACATTGCGAAATAGCCACAAGGATAATACTTTTCGTTTTTCTAATTTGCAACACATCACATATTCTCTGTATAATCTAGTAATATTCAAATTGGGGTTCAAATACATTTTTTTTGTAGATGATGATCCATAATGAGACGAATAAGTTGGTAGTTTTTTGATAAAATCCAAAACAAAACGCATTAGGATTACTTCTAGTGGACCTTATGGCTCTATTCAATGTAGATTGTGTTATTCGTAAACACTTTAAAAGAAACCTCAAACATACTTCTTGTATGTCATTCGATTTTTAGCGGTTTTCACAGGTTCTCTTTTTTTGCAAAACGAACGCAAAAATAAAGTTTTTTTTCTATGACTTTCAAAACTGTAATACGCATCAATATTTTCAGCATATTTTCTTCTACAGCAACGAATAGTTTGTCGACAAAATTGTTTGGCGCTTATAATTCGCCCAGATTTCGTTTGATATTCCAAACCTTTTTGAACTCTCATTTTTTGTTGGAAATTTGTATGTCTTTCAGGATTACGAGTTCGTTTTTTTTTAACCATACTCTTGATTTTCGATTTCGTCTAGAATGAAAAAAAAATGGTAATGTGTTGATGATTGTTTATTTAACAGAATAATAAGAAGAGCACGAAATTTGAACACGGACATGTGGTATATATGCTAAAGAAACTGATCATTTTGATGTTTACAAAAAATAATAATTGCGTCGTATTTATTCCATATAGTTATAACGAAAGAGCGAGACCGTCCAAAATGCAGTATCATAGCGTTGCAGTGTCACAGCGTGTGAGAATATATCATATATTGGTCGAATGAAGGAATATTTGGCGGAAAGAGAAGAAAAAAACATTATTTAAAACACTTCTTTATTTGTTTTGTTTTTGTGCATACTGTTCTTTCAATTGTATCGATAATCGATTATGCTTCTGAGAGAAATTGAGAGATATGTTGATGTGTAGGTGCTAGTGTTCACAACGAATGTGCACAGCGAAAAATGTTTGCATGATGATTTGCGCCACAACAGTATGCTAGGGTGAAAGAGAGAAATACTATACATATACAAAATTTTGCTCCTCACCTTGGTCACATTTTTTACAATTTGATTGATTAAGACGCAATTAATCAGAAACTATCGAAAAGTGAAAGAGAAACGATAAACACTCTCAAATCTGAACGTAAAATCAATATATATTTTTTTATTCACGAAATACTTTGATATTAACTGAAACATTTTCACTCGAAGACACAAAATGAAATCGTTAAAATCTTCCAAATCGAAAAAACCGAAAGTGATTAAAGAGTTCAATGCACAGATCATATGCCCATGCAAAATGAACTGTGCCCAACACATAGATATTGTTCGGCAAAGAGACATTTTTAGTGAATTCTATGAGCAACCAGGATATAAGGAACAAACTTTATTTTTGCGATCGATAGTAGACCGTAGACCGGTAAAAGAAAATATCAACCCATGTAAAAACTTGAAAAGAAAAGATAACATTTCATCCTACTATTTAACTGATGAGGACGGAAATAAAAAAAAAGTTTGCTCGACATTTGTATCGAAATTGCTTCAGATAAATCGAACGAAAATCTTCCGAGCTGCAGTTTCAAAGTGCAAAAATCCAACTTTTCTTCAATTTTTGTCTTAGACATAAGAAAGGTTAGAGTTTTAAGCTAAATAAAAGACATTATTCTGTCCAGTTCAGTCATAAAATTGAATTCGGGTTTTTTAATAACGTTTCAATTTAATAATTTGTTACAACGTCGACTCAATATGCTTACCAAATATGGTAATGCCGGTTCGATTATTTGTTTATGGAATGTGAATTTTACAGTGTTTCATATATCGCTATCAGTATCCGTGAGATAACTGAGAGGGATTATCGCTATCAGTATTCGTAAGATAACTGAGAGGGATATATTCAGCCAGATATGAGTGTCAAAATTGCATTAGACACGCTTACCATCTCCAGTGTCTAATTTAGACAGTGTCATATCTGGCTGAATATATCCCTCTCAATTATCTTACGGATACTGATAGCGATATATGAAACAATGGAATTTTACTCTTTTTTGTTTATGAATCAAATTATTGGACTTTTGAATTATGTATAATACATTTTTTTGTGAATTTACTTTTTTCTTTGCTTTTTATGCTAACAATTGGACTTTACTTTATTTTTTGCTTATTTATATCCAATGGAATGTTAGAAAAATAGTATCACGATATATCGCTAGCGTTAGTCTATTCACTGGATTTAGGATACAGTTAAATATCAAGTCAATCATGGAGCAAATTTTAAAGCTCGAAATGATGGAAATGAAACTCCACGAAAAATGGCATTACATAAAATATTTATCTGGATTTCAGACTAGAATTGTCAACAATAAACTACAATAATTTATCTTATTTTTAAACGCCAGGAGAGATTTTATCAAATGAATTACGTAAATTTGCACTTAATACAATGCCGTTAAGTTCACTTAACCTTTTTGAATGATGATTTTTTGAAGAATGAAGCAGCCTTCCGAGATGGCCTTGATGTCGGTCAGTATTGCGTACATGATCCAGCTGGAATAAAGGATAGTTGCCAAGGAGTCAGTGAAGGTCCTCTTCAACACATTCCCCATGACGATCTGAACAATGCAACAATATTTGTTCGCTTTCGATATTTAATACGAAATAAAAGTGCATCATCTCAAAAATTTCGGCAACGCACGATTGGTCGATTGCTATCGTTTCGTTTCCTTCATTTTTCATTGGGAAATTCTTTAAAGAAACAACAAAAATTAGAAAGATACATTGCTTTATAGAAAATGACACGATGACAAAAATGATACATTTTTTAAAATGTAATTTCATGCAAGAATCGAAATAAATGAAAAAGATACATTTTGTATCTTAATTAACAGTGACATTTTTTTGTTTTTATCTATTTTGCATTCATTCAAATCGAACTGGATGAATATCTATCCGTATTTTCAGGCCTTCATATGGATCTATATGATGCGACAGGTATTTTCTTTTATTTGTGATACACTGTAGCTTGTGCGCAAAAATGGGCTGGTTTCAATTTTGTGCGATATTTTTAATTGGTATAACGAAATTGTTGTAACATTCCGAAGAAATCTTGAAATGTAAGATTGTTTGTGAAATTGAATTAAAACAAGTACTTTAGATTAATGTAAGTTCTTTTTTATTATTTTGATTATTATTGAAGAAAGACTTTTTCTCCATCATAAACAATCGTGTTTTATTTTATTTAAATTGTTGTTTCCCCGGATTGCTCCTCAAAAAATGATAAAATTACTGAGTAAACCAATTTAGCTGCATCCTTTCCCCAAATGAAATCGATATGATTAAACTCTGTTTGGTTCACAACTTGAGTAAGTGCAAGACTATTATTCAGTTTTGGAATTAATTTTTCCACATCTGCTGAATTGCTTAATTTATCATTGGGTGAATAATGAAGCGAGATCGGCACACGAATTTTTGAAAGATCAAAATCTGATGGCACTTTTGAATCTCTCATATACTTTCCAAAATAATCATAACTTATTTCTGAACCATAATGAAGGATTTGATTAAATGAGGCCCCGCTAGGTCCATGGCAAATATTATTCCTCAACGTTGTCTATACGTTAGGAAATGAAAAAAAAAAAGAATAGTAAATGAAATAAATATTTACAAAAATCCAAGTTAGTATTAAAATTAATTGAATTTACGCTATCCTGTTGTCCTTCACTCTGGCCCAAAACTAATTCAAGTAACGATTCACAGAATGTACCCAAAAGTTTTGAGCTACAAATTTTTCCACCAAATTTACCGATCGGACTCCTTGGAAGAAGTTCTGTATTTTCAAATACCTTCAAAAAAAAGTGGTTAAAAGCAAATTTTTGGCATGCATTCAATTTGTATTTACCAGTAATTGATTGTGAAATTTTTCTAAGATTTGTAAAGGGCGTCCAGTATGTTTCAGGTAACCGACCGGTGCCATTAGACTCACCGCATAGAAATAGTCATTATATTCGGGCTTCTCTGATAACAGAGTCATCATGCAAGTTGTGCCTTGTGAATGACCAACAACATACACTTTTGGCTGTTTTGTCTCTTCGAGCACATAATCAAAAATGGCTGGATAGTCATAAATAGCGACCTCGTACCATGAAAAATTCCAAAACCGTTCACTCATATTTAGAATATCTGGATCTAACGTGATATGACGCCTCGAATAAAAATTCCCTCTGTGGTTCGATAAAAAAACGTCATACCCAGCATCGGCCATAATATATGCCAATGCTTGACTTGGATCGTTCGTAGAATAATCATCGGATGAGGAAAGTAAGCCATGATGTAAAAGCACCACCTTCTTTGTGTCTGGCGAAACACTTTTTGAATTGCATCGAAAAATCGTCAAATTATATCCATCTTCGGTGATTACACTGTGTTCTTCCGCATAGTAACCGTTGTATTCGATCATCTCTTTCTGCAATATTAAATCAAAAAAATACCGTCTCGAATTCAAAATACCATTCGATTTAAGTCTTACAGTTCCCATGGTGCACTTATCCTTCACATTTGATTGAACTACCGCAAATCGACCCACAATCAAAAAGACACAAGCGAATTTAAAAATATAAATATTAGAGACAAACATCTTGAGTTCTAAACAGTTCACAATCACTCTGGAGATTAGGTACGAATCTGCGCTTCATATAATGCTTAAATAGTTCGGTTTAATGAGTTTTGCGTCAATGCTATCTATATTTTTGAGAACATAAAATATTTTCAACGTGTTTGATTTACGTCATTTTTCACATTAAACAGAAAGTCAATGTCATTTTCACTTTCTGAGATAGCAAGTCTGATAAACATCTTTTTCCCGAATCACAACAATTTGCAATTGCCAAACGTTTGATTATATCATTCACCTATCACGTTTAGATAATAATCTTGTTGAGCTAATAATCATTGCCCATATTTACTAATTACAATTTCTGAAGCTAACTGAGATTTTACCATAAAAGCATCATCATTCGAGACGATTACATATTATATCAAAATTATATAATTCAATAGATTAGGAGCACGAAAAATGAGTAAAAAAATTAATACTAATGACACGTAATGTATGTGCAAAGCGTATGTAAGTACAATGATTGACGAAAAATCAAAGTGTTTGTCAACATGATATCCAAAAAAAATTCAAAATTGTAAAGGGGTAATTTTCAGCAACCATTCTATCTAAATCTCCAGCTTTTTCCGTTTTCGCTCTTCACTTTTTTGGCGAAAATCCCTACACAGAGAGAAATATTTGTAAAATTCGGTAGCTCGCACCTGGACGAAATTAACACCGACAATAGAGTAAAATGGAGTGCGTAACTCATTTTGAGGAGTAGACGCTCTACTAACACCGCAAGTGCGAGTTACCGTACTCAACTATTTCCAAGTTTTTTTCTATTTCTCGACTATTTCTTGACTATTCCTCTCTGTGTAGCAAAATTAATTGTTAAGGGGTAATTTCTAAATCCATTCTCCAGGGGGAATAGACCCATCGGACCCTGGTTAGAAGCTATGCACAGTAGTATATTATTTAGTTAATTTTTTTCGTCATAGAAGGCCTTTAACAATTAAACTGTCATGTTTTTAAAAAAATGCAATCTCTTTACCCGAAATAAAATGAATACAGTCACTAGTCGGTCAGCATAAAATATCGTCAAATCATTTAAATTGTAACCGCTAGTTATCAACAATGGTATTTTTTTGGACAACTTAATTCTGATAAGAGAATTTTTTTGTTCGATTACCGTAGGTCATGGTTGATATATAAGTGAGCCACATTTTTATTTGGACAAATATTTCATTCATAAAAGATAAACTGAAGGAGTTGCGTAATTTCACGATCTAAATTTTATTACTGCGTCAATAAAAAAAAAAACCAAGTAATATTAAAATTTCCAACATAAGATCTTTCAAACATTTGGACTATGAGTTTGAATACTCATTTCACCCTGTCTGAAAGTACAATACGCATAGTGCTTGCTGCCATAATTGTTATTTGAAAACGGTCCTAAAAATACATACAGGGTGTCTCATATATC